GTTTAAAGCAGAGACATGTGACGCATGTCTGTTATCCCAACGGGCTTCAATTATATGATGTTAGAATGCACATACCACTACGGAAAAGGTCTTATCATTCTGACCAGTGCCGATGATCATATCCCAACCTGGTGGTGTCTTGATCGATTGGATGATCTAGACTGATCAAGCCTTTATTTCAATTCACACAGAGTCCAATGCATGAATGATATATCATCATTTGTCCTTCTTCCATTTAATCATTTTATGTTAAGGACTAAAATTTTCCATATTGACAATTTAGTCCATCAGTTAAGAACTCATTTCAAATTATCTACTTTCAAATCTAACACTTTTTAAACCATCCAACGATTCCCTTTGCTTGTGAATGAGGGATTTAGATTTCATAATGTTGTTTTGTAACACGCTCTGAATGGGCGGTTAACACCATAGCCTCTTAATTAATAGGGTCAACTCTTGGTACTATAAAAGCTCCAAGAGGTGGACTTTTGTAGCTCGCCTTACACGGATCGTAGAAAGTTTTCTATTTATGCTAATTCAATAGTCTTGTAGATGTAGGACTATCGAATAGTGCTTTAGTCTAAGTCAATACTTGGTTCATCGTAAACTTATTATTCTTATAAATATTATTGGGTTGTTGATTTTAAAGTCAATCAATTCGTAAGAAAAAAGTGTAAAAATTAATATTTATGAAATTAATTAAATATTTTTAATAAATTAATACTTCTATGTTGATTTAGTGTATTTTAAAAAATTTACTTTAAATATTAATCTTAAAATTTAAACCCTAAACTTATTCTACGAGACATAGCATACTTATTATGAGAAGAAGGAAGTGCAAAATAAAACAACTCCATCAACCAGACCAACTTCTCGTTGTTGTGTTGCCTCGGATATTTTTTTTACTCAATTTATTTCCATAAAAATTTTATGATTACGCAACTTGTAAGCCAAACGTCTCATTCATCCACAAACCATCACTTTCAAGATGTCCCTATCCCCCTCACTAATGCAATGTGCCCCATCATTCACATGAACGAAAAAACTAATGGCTAATGGAGTCTGAATCTTTATGATTGATTCCCAACTTTTGTACTTTCTCTTTTTTCTTTGATTTAATAATTTTTTTTACTGTAAATAGAGTTGCCAATAGCTAAAAATTGGCATAGATTTATACATTACATAGACTATATACGACTTGTCCGACACAATTCATCAATGAAAAGCAAGACTAAATGTGCAATCGCCCGCCTAATGATTTTGAGTGGAAATAAATTAGTACTCAAAAAAAAAAAAAACTAAATATCATTTATTTTAAAATTTTATTTTTTAAAAAATTAGTTTAAATTTAACAATTAATGTAAAATTTTCATTAGATTCTAAGAGTAATAATAGTTTAATAGAAAAACAATTGTGTTGATGTTTTTTTTTTTTTTTTTAATTGTAGGAAACATGATTAATGAGTTAATATTTGTTCGAACATTGATCAAAGAGTTGATTTAATGATTATGTGCTGTGCTCCACTTTACTTCTTATATGGAGAGACGTGACCACTTGACCCATATAGAGGAGTGCAATTGTGTTGATGTTAATTGTTAAGTTTGAGCAAATTTCTTTAAAATAAAATTTTAAAATAGTAAATTTACTTCAACCTTTTTTTAAAGTATTAATTTTCTCCAACTTGAAAATAATGGAGCCATTTTGCACCTTTTTCTCTAAACAAAATATAAAACTTATGCTAGACTATCTTCTTTTTCTTCTTCTTCTTCTTCTTTTTTAAAGTAGAAAATTAAATTTATTGATAGACTATCTATTTTGTCAGTGCTTTTAATTGGCAAGCAATGTATGACAGGATACCATCCCATTCTAACCTTCTCAAGCGTGGGGTGCTTCAAGATTTCAACGCAATCAAATGTGAG